TATATATATATATTTTTTTTTTTTTTATAATTTTTTTTTTTTTTGCAGATTGCCAGTTTAATATCACTAGAAGATTGCAATTAAACATACGCTTTTTTAATTTTTTAAGCTTTTTTAATTTTTTTTATTTTAATAAGTTACTTTTTTGCAGTTCAGAACAAAACATGTATTATACTAACTAGAGGAAACACACAGACTGCCTTAGAAAACAAAAGTCCACACAGTTTATTCAGGTTTAATTACACATCAAGAGCAGCAAATAATTAAACAATCTTTCAAATTCATCTGTTCTTCTCATAGCACTTCATAATCATAAAAATAGAAATCATATAATGTATAAATATCTGCAATATCGTGTATATTTCCAACTCACAATCCATTTTTATCTTTACAAACATTTCAGCAAAAAGTAATTGCAAAACGCTCCACGTGGACAGTCGCACATTTTGCCGATTCTTGATCCTTTCCTGATGGCGCATTGCTCCCCAACATCGCACTGATGTGAAGGCAAAAGAAATCATTGTCAGTGTTTTGTTAATAGCAAATGTAAATGTGTGATTTTAATCTAGGCATCACAGTATTTTGCACTATTTTAAATATCAATAGCGAAAGACGCATAAATCTCATAAAACTCCTGTTTTGTGCCACTCACTGTAGGAACGCGCCCAAACTTCTTTTCCCAAAGTGAGATGCGTTTACTCTGCAGTTTCTCCAGAACGTCATGTAAAGCCCCGAGCTGTGAACATGTTCAGATCATTTCATGCAAGTAAGTAGCATTAAAATCTTTTTAAAGAAGGGAGCATCGTTTGTTTTCTATGCGCTAAGAATTGCGCAATACTTACGAGCTGCTTTTCGTTGGTCAGATTCGGGTCCTTTGGGTAAAACTCTCTCAAGGCTCTCGTTTCTAAGTCGGATTCGTTGTCAAAGTCCATTTCAGCACCCTGAATGCAGGAGACCAGCACAGCGCATGCCATCGCTGTGGTCCAGAGTTTGGAGCTCTCCATGGTCACAGACAGCCAAGACTGAACGCGTCCTCTACACTGAGATTCAAGTGAACACTCGCTTCCCGCGGTCCAATCACCTTATATCTGCTCCACTGACACACCACTCCGGTCCTTCTTTTGCTCCACCTTACGCATTGATTTTTGTCCATGCGTAGTAAGGACGCCGACGATGACTCATTGCGTAAAGCTGGCGAGTTTATGTCCAAAACAAGACAGAAAAACGTCTGTGGGGAGGAAAACAAGTCTTATGCTGGAAATGTTTACAAATGATTATATATGATTCAGTTTTTGGATTGTTTTAGCAAAATGTTTGTATTCACGTTGCCTACATAAAAAATAGCAGTATAAAAACAGATTCCTCTTTGGAAAAGGGGAGATGGGCGAGTTCTAACACTGTTTACATCAGGGTTCTTTTTGAAAATCACTTCATATACAGGAAAATATCTTGAAGTATTGTCTACAAAACACTTTTGAATAGTTCCACCAGTAATTTAGAGGAAAGAAGTTATTCTAACTTCAAACTCAACATGCCTTAGAAGGGCAACATGTGTCACAATGGAACCTGCTATTAAATAGTTTATTATGAGCTTTCTATCCTACATTTAAACTGTAATATAATGAAACAC